TTTTAAAAGAATGCAAGTAAGGTTTTAGGGTTTAAAAACTACGAATTAATTAAATTAAATTACGAACAAATTAAAATTGAGAAAAAAAAATTAAGAAATATCAATCCACAAAATATCAAATGTGTGTAATTTCGATTATCACGGTATCTAAATATTTTAATTTAAATGTGAACATTTACTCAATTCAATTATTAATTCAATCGAACAACCTAATTGAATTAGATCACAGATTAAATTAAATTATCATTTAACCTAACCTGAAGTAATTATCAAATTAAAATATCAATCGAATCCTAATTTGAATTTTAACCACAGAAAAGTTAATCACGATTGCAATACACAAATATAAGATTAGAAAAAAAAATGAATAAACTCGGAGCAATTTGACTCAGAACTCAAATAAGATGTACAACGTTTGGATTTCGTGGATTAAACGGGAGGTTTAGCTTTCTATCGAAACACTTAACTCACTTGTGAATAAGAAGAGAATGAGAGAATTTGAGAAAAAGTAAAAATAAGGATTCTTATTTCGGCTAAATCTAAAAAACTCAAAGTGTGTAATCGCGCACTCCCTTAATTCAGAACCTTAATAGTCTATTTATAGGTTCTAATTAGGGTAAATTAAGTGACCAAAATTTGGGCCTCAATAATATCTAAAAGCCTAAATATAATTATTAAATAACAAAGGTCTAAATACAATCCGCAATAATATTCAGCAAATCTGCCTCAATTTATAAAAACCATAAAAAATTGAAAACAACTCCAAATCCATTTATGTATTTTGAAGTCGTGGATGTTTAGAATCCAATGCAACTGGAATAAGTAAAAAATGATATTTGTAGACAAAGTTATAGCCAAAAGAGTAGTCAGCTATTAGAATAACCGAAAATATGAAATTAAAGTATTTATTTGTAACAAGTCTAATTTATTCAAATAACTAGAAAATGATAAAAATTCTAAAAATAAAATATATAAAAAGTGTTTATTAATTACAATAAAACTATAAATATAAATATAAAATATGTTACATTAACGCTTGAGCAATAGTAATGAATGCACAAGCATATGGCTTATGATTTTGTTAATGAATATAAGCCTAGTAAGCAAAATGTTGTGGCTGATGCTTTATTGCGTAGGGACTGCTTTGTTTGTTTATGTAATATTGTGATTTTCTTCCTACTCTGAAAGCTTAGATTGCTGATGATACTAAGTATAATCGTATACTATTGGGTATACGTGCTAGTTAATCTTTTCTTTATTTTTGAGAATATGATAACCTCTTATATTGGAAGGATAGGTTAGTAGTGCCAAAATAGTCTCCACTCACTTTGAAGTTATTTAAAGAATTTCATGATTCTCTAGTTGAAGGTCATGCTGGGTTTCTACATACATATTAGCGTCTTCTTGTTCATTTTTATTGGCATGGGATGAAACAACAAGTGCATGCTTATGTTCGACACTGTCAAGTTTGTTAACAAGCAAAAGTTTCTCATTCTTTAAAGGGTGGGCTACTTCATCCACTGCCTATTCTGGAGAGAATTTGGGATGATATTTGTTTTCAGTGGGCAAATATACTTGTCGAGAAGTAGTAAAGGGGTTCTAAAATAAGTTCCTAAATTATCGTCCCATAAGAATTATCTTTCAATTACTAAGAATTTCTTTATCTAATTGTTTAAACGTAAGAGATGCAAAATTGTTGAAATTAAAGCATTTAAAATACCAATCATCATATCTCAAAACACATGCCTTAAGGAAAAATTATAGGAAGAAGACCTAGGGCATATTGGTTTACTTGTTCATTCCTTTATGTTCCATTTCTAGTTAACTCTAGGTACGATATCTGTGTGATTACCAATCATTTATACGATTGCTATTAATATTCAATGGTCATATAATATTAACATTCTTTCCTTTAAATCACACCTCCAATGATCATGCAATATATCAATTAAAGGAAGCATGAAAGTCTTATGAACTTGTTAATCTAATAACGATTGGAAGAGAAAGATCTGTTTGGTCCACCTAATCTTTTGTCTCGTTTATTCCTACAGATCCATTAATTAATCGAGATACGATCGCCTAACAATATAATTAATTTAAGTTATGTTACGAGTGACCAATTCACAATACACAATCAACGTGGTAGGAGAAACACTAATCACAATAGAGATAAAGTCTAAATTTAATTATAAAAGTCTCATAAAATCATAAACGAGAGTTCTCATAGCCTTAACTATGGGTTTAGTTTCTCATACTCAAGAAAAATACCTAAGCATTTGTAAATAATCCATGAACAAAATCATAAACAAGGATGGAAAACAAACTAGAAGGAAGATCCAGTTCTCCAAGTCCGGTCTCTTGAAGATCTAAATCCTCAGGAATGTGCTAGAGACCTCGTACAAAAGAGATGAGAAAATCACGTAGAACTTAGGACACAAGTGTCAAGAATTGAATGATGAACTACTACCTCTCAACCTTCTTTTATGTGACTTTTTAGATCTAAAATCATGTAAATTTAATGAATTGCACATGTTAGCACGACAGTGCATGAAAATGAGGCATGGGCGTGCTAAAAACATAGGACTGGGCATGCTTGCTACTTAATTGCCTAATTCTCTTCAAATTGCTCCCAAAATCTCCAAAATTCCTGTGAGTCTTCACACATGCTCATCCATAACAATTAACAGAGTAATTAGTGTAAAAATTCCTTCAAATTAATAACAAGTGCACATGAGCATGCTCGAAAAGTATATAAAAATGTGGACTTATCAATATTGCAATAGATTTTATCACAAGACTTCCTCAAGTGAACAGATACACAGTAATTATGGTGGTCATTGATCATTCAAATATGATCATCTGATTCCCTTGAAGACTCATTTTATGACTTCTACAGTGGCTAAGTAATTCATACAACGTGTGGTGAAATTACATGATTTTTTAAAATCCATTATTTCAGATCGTGATAAGACTTTCACTAGCAATTTTTGGCAGCATTTGTTTAAATGTCAAGGGACTACCTTAGCCATGAGTATCACGTATCACTTGCAAATGGATGGTCAATCAGAAGCTCTTAATCATTGCATTGAGATGTACCTTCACTGTTTTGTCTTTGATCATCCACATGGTTGGCTACAGTTCTTATTGTGGGTAGAGTTTTGGTATAATATTGCTTATCAAACTTCTGCGGGCATGACACCATTTCAAATTGTTTATGGGCGCCTTCCACCTTCTTTGATTTGTGATTCTGCAATTTCTGTTGTTCTAGAGGTTGATCAATTGTTTCAATAGTGTGATGTAATTTTAACAGCTCTTAAGACTAACCTTGCTCGTACTTAGAATCGAATGAAATTAGTTGCAGATTAGAAATGAGTTGATATTGAGTTTCATGTGGGTGACTTTGTTTGTGTCAAGCTCCAACCTTATCAGCCAATTACCTTACGTGCACATCGTCATTAGAAATTGGGACTTTGGTATTCTGGTCCCTTTCCTGTTGTGGAATGTATTGGTAAGGTAGCTTATTGTTTGTTATTGCCTCTTACAGCTCGTATTCATTTCGTCTTTCATATCTCCACTTAAGAAGTGCATCGGTGATCCATCTAGCAATATTTTCATTGCCTATGATTTCTGAAAAAAAGGATTCTACTTTGCAACCTGTCAAAAATCTAGATTCACGTCTTATATGGCAGCAGGGTTGTTGGAATAATCAAATTTTAGTTCAGTGGTCTAATCTATATGTGGCCAAAAGCACTTGGGAATCAATTTCCTTCATACAAGCTGAGTTTCCTTCATTTGACCTTAAGGACATAGTCAATTTCAAAGGAAGGAGTATTGATATGGATTATGTGGTAACTACAAGTGGGGACAAAAATAACATAACTGAACCAAGGCGTAGTAAGTGTGAAAGGTGCAAAACATGGAAGTTATTGATCAATGAAGCAGTAAAAAGGAATGGTTAATGATTAGTAACTATAATATGTGTCCTATATATAATAAGTAGTAACTGTATTGTGAGTGTGTAACTATTGTCTGAATTTCCCTTCTATTTTCTGTTCCTTTCTCTATCTCTTGGCCAATGTTATGTTTGACTTGGATTTTTCTATTTCTATCTTTTTGCATTGCTAATTGTGATCTTCAGTACCTATAATAAATTAGAGAAACTTATCTCTATTCAGTGAATTATTTGCATTCCTATCCTGTAGTAATATAACACGAAGTTGTGGAATAAAAAGAAAAAAAATTAGAGAAACAACATAATATATGTAAGGGTAGTATATGTAAGAGACAAAGATAAAAGAAAAACATGTAAGGGTAGTATATGTAATTTTGTAAAAGTATTAGGGGTATTTTGGTCTATAAAAGTATAGTTTCCGTGACCCTAGAGCTGAGAGAGTTGGGACACCAGTCCTTTCTTCTAGGAGGTACACTAGTATCCTTCGAATTTGTGTTCCCATGTGTCCTTCTGTGTCTTTGTTTCTCCAGCAAGACACTAGTCAAACATGATACGTATGCTTCTGTGTTTCTGTTATAGTGTCTTTGTCTCTAAACCAAATGTTCCTTAAAAGCATTTCTTGTTATATGTATCGTTGCATATTTTTTCAGTATTTAACTATTAAATTCTCTTCCTACATACTTCCGTGTGTAGATTGAGAGTAAAATTGTAAGTAATGTTCCACTTATATCAATAATGTAGAAGGAAAACGAATGAAGGCATCATAACTAAAACAACCATTGAAGGAATTTGACCGTATTCCTTTAAACTTTCAATAAAATACACCAAGTTCTTTTGTTAATCTTTCACAATTTTCAAATTTAACATAAAATGTTACTGAGTTAATCATCTTAAAAACGTAATATATAAGATTTGAATGCAGTTTTTTTTTAATATAACCATAGGGTTAAAATATATAATGCATTAATTTTTTTCTAAATATTTTTAATCAAATTTTTAAATATTATAACGTTTATATAACCAGTGAACCTTATTTCCTATCTCTCCTAACCTAAAAAATAGTCCAACGGCAATATCTGTGAAAAAACTTTCAATGTTCCTATAAAATTTAATATCATTGCTCGTTACAACCTTATTTCGATTCGCATGAGAGAGAGAGAGAGTGAAACTGATACTTGAGATTAAAAGTGAGATTCTATTACATAAACTGGTCGAGAGAGAGATGGGAAAGAGCAAAATATTGGTAATTGGGGCGACGGGAAATCTGGGTTACCATTTAGCAGAAGCAAGCATTAAGTTTTGTCACCCAACATTTGCTCTTGTTAGAGACTCTGCTTTCTCTGACCCAAGCAAAGCCCAAAAGCTTCACTCCCTTTCTCATGCGGGAGCTACGCTTCTCAAAGTCTCCCTCTTCTTTTTCTAATTTTTGTGTGGAACAGAACTCACGTGTACTTCTTTTGAGTATTTTAATGTTATTTTCGAATTTAATTAGAATTTCGCTTGCCCAATAAAAGCTACTAGTATTTAAGGTTGTCACAAGTTAGGAGGATAAAATTTTAATATTAATTAAAAATAACAGAAAAATACTTGAAGAACCATATGTAAATTTTCTCCTTACTTATTATTGCGGTTAACATATATTATGGTCAGGGTTCACTCGAAGATGAGGCCAGCTTATTTGAGGCTGTGAAGTTAGTAGATGTGGTCATTTGTGCCGTTTCAGCTAAACAAACTCTACAGCAAAGGCTTCTTATTCGGGTTATCAAAGAAGCTGGCTCAATCAAGGTGATCATCCATACTAATTTTTTTATCCATCCTCTATCCCTTTCAGACTACAATTGTATATGTTTCCAGAATTCTCAATATACATATCTGTATTTGTTATTAGTCTTACATTGAATAGAATAAGACGATGCTTAATGTAGTATATTTGAGTTAGGTTCTCTTTATTTGCTTAAGTCATACCAATTTGTGCTTTCATTGATAATTGGGTACAAAAAGGGTTACCTATAGATTGGATTAAGAAACAATGTACTGAATAGAGCGAAGCCACCAACGTAAAGGAGAAGGGTTACTATAGACTTCGGCTTTTAAAGGGAGTGTCCATGTTATAAGTTTCATTTTTGAGTGGGATAAGAAACTGAATGGGTTACTATTGAAAGCTCAATGGTATCGTGTGATTTATGTAGCCGACTTCACCTGGATAAAATTGTCGTTATTGTTGTAATCTTAATGTCATACTTAAGACAAGGAGCTTTTTCTCCTAATGAACTACCCCTTTGGGTTAGGCTATCTTCATGTACTTAAGTTATAACCTTATTGATGGAGAATCCATTCCTAGTGTGATTGCATTGTTAATTGTGTTTATTAATGTGTTGGTAATTGTGTGGTTCAGAGGTTTATCCCATCTGAATTTGGATCAGATCCTACCAGGGTTCGAGTATCTGAACTTGATGATGGCTATAATTTCTATGCACCCAAAGTTGAAATTCGGCGACTTGTGGAGGCAGAAGGCATTCCATACACTTACATCTCCTGCAATTTCTTTATGAAGATTTTGCTTCCTTCTCTTGTTCAGCCCGGCTTAGATGCTCCACCTAGAGACAAAGTCACCATATTTGGTGATGGCAATACAAAAGGTATGCTAGCTTGATCAAGACCATTGAATGATATTTAGGGTACGTTTGGATACATATCTTATTTAGTTGTTTATTCAATGTTATTTCTAAATGACGACTTATACTATAAATTTAATGATGAAATTTATTGAAATAAGCTGAAAACAATTTGTTTGAGAAAGTTATACTAAGAAGCTTATTAAAATAAGCTGAAAATAGCTTTTTTTTTTTTTTTTTACTTGGTGCTTGCTTTACTCATGAACTGTATCTTTGCAGGTGTCTTTATGAAGGAAAGTGATGTTGCTGCCTTCACTATCAATGCAGTTGATGATCCTCGTACTTTAAATAAAGTGTTGTACTTGAGACCCCCAGGAAACGTCTGTTCTTTGAATGAATTGGTTGAGATGTGGGAGACCAAGATTGGCAAGAACCTTGAGAAATTGCATATTTCAGAAGAAGGGCTGCTTGTGAAAATCAAAGGTATTATGGTAATATATTCAACATATTTATCACTTGACTATGAATTACTAGTAAGTTGTAAACTATGTTGCCGCACTTGTCAGTTAAGACTTTAGGATGCTTCATATGTTATTATATATGAAGTCTCTTTTTAAACATATGTATACCAAATCTTATTCTATTATTTCTTTTTTGCATTGTAGGAACTTCTTTCCCTGCCAACTTTGAGATGTTGTTTATATATTCTGCTTTTATAAGGGGAGATCACACATACTTCGATATTGAGTCATCCTCTGGTGTTAATGGCACAGAACTGTATCCGCATCTGAAATATACCACTGTCAGTGAATTCTTAGACACACTAGTTTAGGCTTTGTTTAGGATTGGGAATGTTGGGAAAGTGTGCAGTTCACATATTTTTATGTTGAAAATATCCATTCTTTCCAAGTTTTGTTTGTTTGATATTTCTAAACACAACTTTAGATAACTGTGTTGAATAAATTAATAATGCAATGCACTTAACAATAATGACACCAATGTCGTTTTACATTATTAAATAGGCTATACTTTTTTATTATTATTCCTGTTCTTCTAAACCCTAAACTCGAGAAGATGGAGACCAACACAATGGTTAGATTGATGCTGGTACAATGTAGTTTTGTCCTTCTTTCTTGTCAACATACAATAGTAGTTCTAACATAGTGGTGGAACGAGGTGGCATTAATTACTAGGTAGAGAGATCCAGGATCATTTTGCTTGTCACAGGTTTGATGGCTCGGTAGTGATTTTGTGGAGCTGTTTTTAAGTATTATTTTCCTTTTTATTTTTGAAATGGTAGTGAAATTTGAAGTTTTGCTGATGTTATGATGAGCTTTTGGTTTGGTGTTCATTGAGCAAGAGGAGGCATGTCATTTTGGATTATCTATGAGTTGGGGTTCTATAAAATTTATTTTAATGTTCCGTATCATCAAAACTTTGTTTCTTCAGGATTTTACATGAAAGGGGCTAAATAGGAGAAATTTTTATAATGTAAATATTAAGCTGTGGAAGTCAAATTATTTTACATCTGGGAACTTAATAAAGGGTGCATTTGTTTAAAACCCAAGGCTATTTGTGAATTTGCATTTGAGGTTCAAAATTTTTGTACAAAGAGTCGAAAGTTTTTATTACTTGGAGATGCGCTAGCAATGGAATTTCGTCTATAAATTATGAAGCGCAGCCCAATTAATTTATGAGGTATATAATTGAGCCTGGAATGTACCTGAGTTTCAAAATTCACCTAAGTCCAACCCAAATCAGATTACCTGGGCCATATTAGGTCACTAGCCCACAAGCATCCTCTGCCAACGAGTAATATTTGTCACGGGTGGATTTTTAAACCGGCATCTGTGGGTGTAGTAAACGAATTTTTACAAGTTTTTACCTGTTAATTAAATAGAACGACTTTGGGTATTTAGATACCCGTCTCTATCCATTTACAGATGAAATTACAAATTACTCTTTATATATAAATAAAAATAACATAATTTTAACCAATTAATAATTTTTATGTTATATTTTAATTAATTTTTTAGTGTTATATGAATAATTTAATTTCTCTTTTACTATTACGTAGATAGTTGATAGTAAATTTTTTAAAATTATTTTATAATTTTATATTTTTAATAAAAATTATAAAATGTCATAAATATTTTTGAGTATCCATTTAACTTAACATGTACTCGTGCAGTGTAGGTATTCAAGCAGGTGCGAGTATTTGTCATTTGTGCCTGTCAAGTTAAGATCCTTAATTGGGACATAAAGTTAAAAGCTTAAGTTAGATTATATTCTTTTGATTGAGAAATATTTGTTTGTTGTTATCAACAGGACACTTACATATGCTTTTTTTGAATATTTATATGTAGTTTGAAATGTATGCATATAAATAAATAAATGAAAAATGTAAAATTATATTATCACATACTTTGTTAATTTTTAGTAATTCAAATAACAATTACTTTTACCCTTCTTTCCAAATAAAACTTATCCTTGTAACACCCTAAATTTTGTTGCTCTTATGTAAAAAAAATAGAAAATGGATTAAAGATATCTCGCTCAATTGAGATAGATCTCATTCAAGTGAAGTAGAATTTCCTAAAAGAGAACGTTCTGGAACTTTCTCACTAAAGCGAGATGAATCTCACTCAAGCAAGATGAGATAAAGTTGTCCCAACTATCTTATCGCTTAGGCAAAAAAAAGGGGTCTCATTCAGGCTGAGAGCAGCTCGTCCAAGCGAGATAGAGCTCGTCTAAGTGAGGAGTTGCAAGAAAGATAGGGTGCTCTGTGGACTTGATCTCGTTCAGGCGAGATTGTATCTCGCTCAAGCGAGAATATCAGAAAGATGAATAGTTTTGCTGTCTAGTTGTCTCGCCTAGGCTAGGGTGGATCTCGCTTAAGCAAGAATCTTATCGCTCAAACGAGGTCTTTGGAAGGATATTTAAGGAACCTCAGCTTCAAAAATATTCATTTCTCACCAAACAATGAGATGCATGATTTGAAAAGTGTGATTACGATACACACACACACACACATATATATATATATATGGTGATGCATAAGATTATATATATCAAAACTCACGTATGACATGCTGATCGATAAAAAGGATATGGAACTGAAAGTTAGATATGTTGATAAAGAGAATAAGTATAGATAGTTACAGAGATATACTGGGAGTATAGAGTTCAGAGAAGATTTAAGAAATCTAGGTAAAACGTAGAGTGAGGGATGACATTTGGTTGAGTGTACACATTTATAAAATTATGAATGCATCGTTTGGCCATCCACTCATTTTTTGACAAAACTCCTGACTATACATTTGCTAAAAGGGGCCGAGGCGACACACATGTATCAGTGATGCTACAGCTAATCAGCAGCTATCTATGCTATGAAGTTCTCAAGGGATCGTAGGGACAATTATTATGAAAATATGATGGATATGAAAGGGTTATAGATGTGAAATAGTATAGAATTTGTATGATTATAATATATGTATCGTAACAAATTAATTTATGTTGTTATGATATATGTGTTATAGTATATCGACAGGTGCTACTAGGACACATGTACTGTAGCATATTAATTGAGATGATATGATACATATATTATAACATATAGGTTAACATAGAAATGTATGTAGAATGAGTGAATTGTTGCATATGTTTTGATTGGTGATTGTCTTGTTGTATGTGCTTTAATATTATGATTGTTAATGTAAGCTGTTTATTATTGGTAATGAGTTAGAATAGGATGTTAGACTATAACTGTAGTTTCATTTAAGTTAATCTGTAATAAAAGAAATTTAGTGGGGCAGAAAATACTCACTATTACATTTTTCAAGTAATGAAAGAAAAGAAATGAAGATGGTTGATCCGTTCTAGGGTCATATTCATCAAAGATTGTGAGAAAAGAACTGCTCAGATATATTTAATTTAATGTAATATATATATAAATCTATTTATGTATTTTTATTTCATTGATAGTAAAAATTATAATTTGATAAGTTTTATGAATTTGTTAAATTTTATTAGTTTATATTCATATACTATATTATTTCTTCAAAGTTGTATAAGTTGTTACGAATTTTCTTAAGCATATTTTTAATAATATAAATTATTAAAGAAAATTATTTTTACCAAAAAAAGATGTTAGAATCCTAACTTCTTAAATTTTGCTATTATTTAATATATTAATAACACATTTTTTGATATGTTCTTTTAAATATATTTATTATTAATAATAAAAAAATATAAAAAATATAAATATGTTTTTAATCTTCATATGTTAGAATTTTTTTTTATTTTAGCTCTTATAATAAATTTCTTATATTTTAGTTCTTACTTATAAATTTTTTATTTTTAGTCTCTAGCATTAATTTGATCCATTAAAATATCGTTACATGTCAATTTTTTATTTAATCTCATCAACATTAGAGATTAAAAGTAAAAATTTATAAAAAAATAAAGACTAAAATAAAAATAATAATTTCAAGAGATTAAAACAAAAAATTCGATAAAATGTGAAAATCAAAAACATATTTAACCTAATATAAAATTCAGTAAACATTATATTTTATTTAATGAATTTTACTCTTACTTTTTCAATAAATTTCATCGACCGATAAATAATACGTTATCAACACTCCTCTAATTTTTGGTTGTGCTACATGGGAAGGAATATTTGGAGGTTTGGCTTAGGTTGTTATATATTATTATATACATTGGAACTGGTAAACCGCGCCCCATGTGAGTAAAAGGGTAGAGAATGAGACTTGAGAAGGGAAGTTCTGAAGTGGGACCAATGAAAGTAAAATCTGAGATCATCTCTCACCATCCACAGAAACAAAGAGAATCAACTAGAGATCTTGGGTATGGATGAGACAGGTCCACCGATCTCACCATTATATATGGCTTGAAAGTGAAGGAAACCTGAGGCTCTTGTAACTCCTAGATAAAATAATAACACGCTCCCATGCCATCTTGCCCTTTGCAACCTTAGGTGGTCCCCTTAGTAACCATCCACACACCCTAACATTGAAAAGCTCCTTTCATTCATATTAAGACATCAATCTACGCTCAACATATTTAGTTATACCTTTTAATGATTTCGGAGGTACATTAAAGTCTCATCAGAACCTCCCCAGCTTGGAAAATAAAATAAAATTAAGCCTCAAAATGAGATCCGCATCTTTGATTGAGCTAGCCAAATTTAATTTTGTATAGTCAAAATTTTGATGAATTTATCATGTTATCAACATTTTGCATGAGCTTGTACTCATTGGGTACTGTGATGTTTAGTTCCCATGAGTCCTCACAGTTGAAGAACTTCAATAAACAATAGCAACATCTTTTTCCTTTTAGTTTTTTGTCCATATAATTCTAAAAGTTTAAACACCTAGATGACCATATACATTATATATACACACACTTTTAACCTTACATGAGTTTAAATGTCCTTTTTGATTGAACTGTATCATAATTCCTTGGGTACTTGAGAGACACAAAAATCATTCTAATTAATTGAAGAAGTTGAAATGTCTGCCTATGCCCTTTTTCTCCCCCCTTATTTAGGACTATGTTGCCTAATTATCACTGTCTCAATCAGCACACTATTATTATTCTGTCCCCAAAGGTGGTTTTGAGAAGGTCCACTGTTAGGCCCATTGCTTCTGTCTCTCTCAACCACCATACTCAATGTTATCTTTCTTTTTTCTTCATCCAACAAAATGGTAAGCTACTTCCTTCAATCTCAGAAGTTCACATTTATTTATTCTAATATTACTGGTTGCAGTTTCAGAATCAATGTAATTTCAAACATAATATCAAACCTATGCTTCTGCATTACCCATTGCATTTAAATAATAATAATAATCTTCAAGAGCAAGTATATAGTTTCACAATATCTTGCACTAGGGCATCTGAACACACCGGCATCAGCATGTGACCTTGGTCTTATTTTTCGATTAGAGAAAGACAGAAAATGAGATATGTAAGTTTTTACGGAAAAAGCAAATTAGCAAATGTAGGGAGAGAGACTTTGAAATCACCGAGATATCCGTATGGTACCGTATCAAATATCGATTTGCGATACGTTTCTCTACATTAAAGTTCGATTGATTTCTCTTTAAGCCTCTTAGCGTATACGTTTTTTTTTTTTTTTTTTCAAATAATGACGAGATAGTTTTCATAATTTAATTATAGTATTTTTATTTTAATTTAATTACTATTAATTTTTTTATAATTTTTCAAGAGATTTAAGATTATATAAATATCAGGTATATTTATGTATGACAATATATATTTTATTTAATATATATTGTCACATGTATCTTATTTTTTCAAACAAATTATATTATTTATATATTATTCCGGATATTTATGTCTAATTATCTGAATCCGGATAACATAGAGCGGAGATAATAAACATTAGGGATGGGGCCATTCCTCGAGTTGCAAGATTTAAGTACGTTGGATTCTTCTTAGGAAACGGGTAAGAATGTCGTACATGTAAGATTTTGATTGGGCAGACGAAATAGACAATCATTTTGAGAACAATTTGTTGCAGCAAAAAAATTATCCAACTTGAAGAAAAATTCTACTGAAAATTAAAAAACCGCTCATGCTTGATGTTACTGAGTGTCGATGAATAAAGTCATAAATAATAATAATAATAATTGCATAAATATTGACGAGTTAACATTCAAAAATCAAAATTATGTATTCGAGAGAGAATAGGAACAATATCAATAGGGTAGAAAAGTCGGAAAAGTGCAATGAAACTCTGATCATTCTTGGGTTTGCATCGAGTTTTCCCAGCTTTACTACTAGTGGGCCTAATATCCTTGAAGGTATAAAATATGTATACAAAATTGAACCTTTTTTTTTTCATTTTTACTTTAATTATAAAACTATCACGTCATTTTATATTTTAAAAATTATAAAATGAATTTAATTTTTTTTTACTATCCTTCTATAAACTTCTAAAAATAAAACAATATTAATAGCAAAAAAATAAAAAAAAAATAAAAAATAAAAAAATAAAACAATATTTTTATAAATAAAAATAAAAAGTCAAATCCAACAACTCCTTATTGTTTAAATTTTATATATTTTATAAATAGATATTTGAATTTTCATTTTATCATAATGAATCTTTAAATTTTAAATATTATTATAATAGATATGCAGTTAATTTGTGTTTAAATTTCTAATCTGAATCTTTTACAAATAAATAAATATTTTGGAACTTTCATATTTTATCCGTGTTAACAAAAAGGGGTATTATAAATTAAAGATCATATTTATTATAAAATTGAAGTAAGTTCTAGCTATCTATCTATATGTACATTACAACATACACAATGTAAAATAATTGTATCCTTTTTCTCAAAAATAAAATAAAATAAAATAACTCTGGTTCCCCCCAGAATAATCCTGATGTATTATTATTATTACACCTTAGCTTCAGCTGATGTTACTTTTATTTTACCAAAAATCATATTAATGAAGAGGGGAAAAAAGCAGTGGAAGGTTGCCATCAACGCCCTATGTACATTGGATTAGGTGCCTGGTCACACATCTGTTCATTGTGATGAACCTCTCTTTTTGTGTTTTTATAATTGGCTAATAGTACTTTAAGCATGCAAAAGCAGGTGACTGAAGTTAATAGGCATTAATATGATCATATTTATTCTACGGAGCAGTATACAACCAATATATGTTATGTACTTGAAACGAAAAAGAATTTTGATAAGAGGCATTCTCAGCCAGCTAATCCAACCAAATGGTAGCACATCATGTGCTTTACATCTCCATCTTTAGATTGCTAGCTTCAATTAGACCTGCATACACATAAACACAACAAATTAATAATTTACATTCACAAGTAGCTTAGTGCAACTACTTTCAACATCAGAGGATAATTTTATGTTGTTTGAAATAAGGGTTATTGTGGAATGGCCAACAAGTCTATGAGAAGCTTGCTGCTATTTGTACCCGTTTAATTTCACTAAATATAATACACTTCCAACGTTATAAGTGATTTTTGTCTTGTATTACAAACAGCTTGCTTATCTATAGCAAGAGTCCTATATGCCCATAATGCATTGACACAATCTGCAAAAACCTTTACTTATTCTAGGAGTGAAAGTAGTGGGAGAGTGATGAAGGGAGCAAATAAAAGACAACTTGGCTTGATGACTGAATGATTAACGGATATTAAAAAAAAAATAAAAAATAAATTTCTTGGTTTTGATCAAAAGGGACTTAACAATATCTGTGGGGCTCTCGTGTGTCTGTCATCTATGATTCAAAATCCACTGTGCTTTGCTGCTTCTACTTTCTACTTTTAGGATATTGTGTAATGAAAAAAGTGATTTGACAAGTCATGAATTTGTAGCTACCTGTAAATGGCTGAGAAGAAAAGGATGTTGTTCGCCCTTGATCAAAAGCCACATTGTAAAGGTTTTGGAAATCACCTTCCCAATTTGAGGAGGGTAGAATTTGCTGCAGTGCAGGTAAAAAATATCAATTTGAGAAAACTAATCATTAGAGCAAGAACATTAGAAGACAGATTCAGATAGGAGAAACCTACAGTGAAACAGGATGTGTCAAGAAAGGTTTCAGGCAAAGACACAGGAGCACCAATGTTCCTCCGAAGCCCCATATTGGGAGGAGGGCTTACACCCATATTATTTATTAACCCACCACAGCACGAGACAAGCTGTTGTGCTGAATTGAACTGAAGATAGGCGTTGTTGGGGTTAGTCATAGTCATATCTGATGCCATCCCCATGTTTGGATAACTTTGTGCACAAGAAGGAAACACCTGTTGAGATCAAATCAAAGATATAATATAATGAATGTATCAGATTTTTACTCTTTCGATGTAATCGATCTAAAAGGAAGGAAGGAAGGAAGGAACTACAACAAGCTAAATATGCCATTGCCCATTTGCCCTTACCTCTTTGGCCAACAGTTCATCAATGTTGAAGTCAAGCCTTGGGTTTACAGCAGCTAATTTCATTGACAAGAACTGCATGCGGGGATGGATTATACAGTAAGTCACGTGATCTTTAATTGTACAAAAAGTTGAAACTGAACTAATATATAAATATATATACAGAACTTTAAAGTTTTGAAAAAAAATTATTTTAAATTGTTGAATATAATTAAAATGAGTTTTAAAATTAATCATATTAAGAAAACCTATGTTTTCCATTACAAGGTATAAAAATTAAAATTTTAATTATAAAAGAAACGGGCACTGTCACTATGTGGTAATGGAGCTGATTAATTTACTATGAAGCAACGTGAAAGGCAGAAAATGAAATGGGAACGACTCTAACCTCAACTTGTCGTTGAAGAGACTGAACATAGTTAATGATTTCATCAAGCATGCCAGCTTTTCCTGCAATTTTGTTGCACCCGGGTACTAAATCTTGCAAATACTTCATTCTCTCGCTAATTTTCTCCCTTCTAACCTGCACGAGACAGAACGTGTGATTAAACTACAAGTAGAGAGAAAAAGTGAATCAAAACAAGTTATGATATTGATATGCACTCACTCTTTCAGCTAAGCTATGACTATCAGTGGCTTGACCACGACGCGCTCTCACATGAATGTATTCAGGCTTTTGATTTTGAACCTCTGAACCTTTTGAAGTATCCGCGGATGTTTCCCTGTTGTTTCTGTTAGTGTTGTTGGACTTGGCATTTTTGTTGCTCGTTTGCTCCGTTGTTTTTGATTCCCCTTCTTCACCACTCACTTTCAGTCTCTTATCGCTATCCGCAACCACCTTAACCAACGAACCAAACCATAAATTAACCTCTTTTTAATCTAAGGTTCATAACATGACAACCTTAACATTAGCAAATAGCAACAGAATCAATCCAAAATAATACCTTCTCAGCTTTCCTCTTCTTAGAGGTTTCTTTCCCAACCACCATCTTTTCCGTGGCTGAAACCAAGTCTCTGTCTCTGCTACAAGTCCTCGAAATAGCAGAAGCGGCAACGAAACCAGAAGAAGATCCGAACCCGGTTCCCAATTCGGGTTTGACGGTATGAGCTAGCACCTCTCCAAGCGCGGAGTCACCTAAGTGAGGAATATTCAGAGCTTGCAGAGAAGTAGTAGCAGAAGTAGAAGAAGAAGAAGAAGAGAAAACGGCGTTAAGCTCCGTTGAACAGAAGAAGGGTTGGTGATGGTGATCCTGCTGTTGCCACCTCACCCTTTCCCTTTGCCGTTCCAACACCGTCATTTCCGAACAGCTCGCTCCTACTAGATTCCCCGAAGTGTTCAGACAATGCAACATCGTGTTCTTGTGATCGTTATTCGTTATCTTTATTAGGAATAAGCAGTGCCAAGTTCTTGAAAAAGAGTAAAAGTAGTGGCTTCTATGCGCTGTGTTGAAAACAAAAAGAAAAACGAAGTAGGGTCAGCAATCCTTCGTTCCCAACGCGTGAAGGTCTCGGGAGAAGAAGGTACAGAACAGAGGATAGGTAAGTTGAGTGAGAAAAAGAAAACAGAGGAGAAAGAGTGAAATGTTGTTAAGGACGAAGAGGAAGAGAGGTTGAGTATATATATAAAGGTATAGGGAAATAAATTTATTTCTTTTATAATAATAATAATAAATAAATAAATAAATAAATAAAAGAGAATAAAAAAAAGGCCGGAGAATGCCGGAATATGTGAAGTAGTGGCCGGAATAATTAGGAGAGAGAGGAAAAGAGTGCCAAGTGATGTATCCATAACCGAAGCTGTGGGTATTGGGCCCCACTGACATGACCGCCACGTGGGCATGTCCAACACTTCAAAACGACGGTGTTTTCCTTTTCTTTCTTTTCTTTTTTCTCCATATTCACGTTGCATATGGATTATGGTGGCTTTGCCACTGCCACTGGCACCATTATCCATAAAATGAAGATGTAGAAATAGGTTGATGATAATATTTTATACCTGTTTTATTTTATTTTATCTATATTAGTTATTTGTTTTTTCATAATATTCTTTATTATATTATTTTATTTGATTATCAACATTATTATTGCCCAAATAAGTTGTTTGACGAATTAAGTTAATCAAATTTAAAATTAAAATAATTTTTTTAACTATATTTGGTTTGAGTAATCAGGTGTTAAATTAATATCAAAGAATGCATCTTTGAATATTACATTGTCCCTATTCCAATAATCCATCAGAAAAAAGGAAATTATATAAAGAGTAATAATATCGACCGAAAAAGTGGAATGCACTTATACCCAAAAAAACTTGCATAATAAAATAACTGAGATTATTAAACAGTGTATTCTAAAATCCAAAATACTGTTTAAACAGATAAATTTTATATAAACATATTTTACTTGTGATTTTGAAGTTAAATATTCTCTTCAAAACACCTTTTAGTTAAGAAGATATTATTAAATTTAGTCTGATGTATAATATGGAGGAAAGTTGAATAGGCATGACAGTTACTAAAATTGAACTAGAACAATTATAAACTGGATAAGTCATCAACATGAAAAAATCCATAAAAATCAATTTAGAACTGATTAAAAAGATATGTTTGAATCAATTTTTAACTTTTTTACTTTTGTTCTAAAATATTTTAAAATAAATAAATGCTCGTAATAAAACTCATATATGAATTTTTATAATTAGTTGTATATATACATCATCTTATTATGTTAAGTATAATTTCACTTTATTTTTTATAATTTTATATTAATATATTAGTTAATATTATATAATATTAAAATTATATATTTTATCATCACTGATTTGACTTTAGATAAATTATGATCATACCAATAAACTGTAAATTAGTAATTTTATAAGTTTAAACAAATGACTGATTTAATTTGAAAATATTTGTAAATACAGAAGTTGAGAGAAAACACACAATTTCCCACAAACTCGTACACCTCCCTCCCGAGGCGCGTGGATGTAACTGTATTGCGCAGTGATTACTTTTGATTATTTGCTTGCTTGAGATTCTCTTCTACATTCAAAGAGAATCAAGGTCTCATCCTCATTCCTCATTCCTCAGCCCCCTTCTAAATGTAGTAACCCCTTTCATCCTCAAAATAATATTCTCAATCAACTTTCTAATTAATTAAATAATTTAATAACAGTACTTTCATAATGATTGTTTCTTTCTATTCTCAGTTCTTCTTCAAACAAATACTTGTGGCGTTTGTATTTTCAAAGAATATGTTGATTTGTCCAGAGTCCAATAATAATCTAATCTTTGTGGCTTATATTTTGTTTGCATCTGACCTCAAAATTGGTGAAATTAGATAAAGAAGTTTATTCCAAAGGATGAGAATGTATCCCAACTAAAAAAATTCCAATAGATCCCGAGAAAGTTCTAGCATAAGCTAACGTTGAATTATGGACACAGATCTATTTCAACGAGTTACTTATGTTTGATTAAGGAACAAGAAAGTCTACATACATTTGAGGTTACACTTTAAGGAAAGGGATTGATGGATTAACAGCTGTGTCTACTAATCCAATCCTAGGTTAGGAATTGACCTTTTACTTAGTTGCTAAACACCACAGAGATATTTTTGTTTTCGTTACTTGTCACTGACAAATTAAGCAGTCAATGAAATCACATTTGCTATAACACGTTGTTGCAATCTTAATGGTAGATTTCTTGTAGGTAAAATCTCATGCATTAGGATGAGGCTCTGCAACCATTTCAACGCAGCCACATGACATTAACACTATTGTCTAAATCATGCTTTGCTTGCAAATTTGTGCTGTGATTTGAAGCTTGAAGCAATATAGGAAGGTAAAGGTGACCAAATATAATTTCAGATTGGTAGGAACAAGTCCAGAGAGGATGAAGGCAACTTCCATTATCACCTAATGGGCCCTCTCTTACCTATACCTTTCTCTCTCTCTCTCTCTCTCTCTAACTTTAGTCTTTGATCAAGTCTCTATCACTATCAACTCTATCTCCCCGCCTCCTCTCTCTCTCTAGGTCCCCTCTTCCTATGTACCAGTTGCATACACTTCAAAATGACCCTATACCACAGCTAAAGGCAAATGGGTCCTGCTTTCTCAATCTCATTTTTTCAATCATTTTCTTTGTGGTATACATCAACAGAAAACTACTATGTCCCCCCTCTTTGTTTTTCTAGTGAGTCATTCTTTTGGTTTCTTGAGTGCTTTCCATCCTATATTCTCTTTGACTAATCTCTCCTTACACACTACATTTATCATTGAGGCAGCACCTTACACCCTGTATAAACAATGTCATATTTATGCAGTTAGGCAATTGCCATATTCTCCTTGTGTATTTTTCTCAAAATGGCATTCATGATCAATCCCCTACACATTTTCGTAACTATATTTTATTTATGACAAAATATTATGATATAGCCATTGCTTAATTCTGTTTAGTTTAGTTACAATTCATTAGCATTTTATTGTCACAAAGTAATAGTACCCTATTGCAATTGCTTTTCTTCTTGTATCTTTTTATTGTAAGTATCTCTGTATCTGCTGTTGGCTTTGCCCCCTTCAAGGCCAATTTTAAATTCCAAAAATGTCCCACCTGGCATATGTTAATATATAGGAAAAATAATTGGGAGGGCTTCTTATCTTATCTAACTGATATGTATGTATATGAACCAAAATAATAATTGGGAGAGGGAGATGGCATATGAGGAAGCAATGGAAGAGAGCAGCAGATCCGATGTATAGGGAATCCTAGTTCTTGCAGGCCCCCCCCTCCCCTATTAAATATATCCAGTGGCCAAAAAGTAAGAAAAAAGTTGGGTTCTTGGAAAATCTGTTGCTCCATTAGTCCACTTGCTAGCTGCAGTTCATCATCAAACAGATGGATGCTATGGGCTTCCTTCTCTTCTTTAATGCACAAACATGCTCAATGCCTTCGCCAAACAATCCCTCTCTACTCATTAAAATTGACTTTGTCTTGCTTTTTGTTATAATATCTGGCAATGATATCAACCATTTTTTTTCCTTGTATCAACACAAAGTACATTAACTAAATCAATTGTATACAATAAAAAGTTATGGATGTTAGATTGTGTAAGTAATTCAAATTTATTATAGTTGAAAGTGTTTCCAGCATCTGAATTGGCTGGACATGGAACCTGACAATAAAACTCATAATTTTCTTAGATTATGGTGTGTTTGGTAAATCATTTAATTGAGTATTTATTATATAATCATAAATTTTTTTATAGGAGTTTAATAGTCATATACTCATACACTCTTTGTACCTTATTGTATTATCAAGTGACACAAATTAAAGGTTAATCAATTAAATCTTAGAACTTGTAGTCTTAATCAATTAAATTTCAGGACTTGCAGAGTCTTCAATATAGACAGAATGGAAAGAACAAATAGACTACCATGTCTATTTCCAATCTTGTTCTGGCTCCTGAGCCTTTCAGAATGAAAACAATTTGTTAGCAATGTGAATAATTCATTCAGCCTTTTCCTTAGTTGCAATGATTTATTTTGATGATTTTGTTAATTCTAATTTAAGATTGAGTTTAAATATTTAAAACATCACACTAAAGATATAAAAGAATGATAAATATTTTTAATAAAAATAGTACTGTTTTTAAACATTTAAGCTCGAATGTAAAAATTAAAATAATTATTTTTAAAAGGAAAGCATTAGGCTTGTAGGTCATAATTAGAAAGGAAATTAGATGTTTAGAGTTGCTAGTGAAGACAAGAAGGGAGTTAATTAAAGAGATAATATGAGGTGGTGAAGTGGGTCTCAATCCCCCAATTAATTTCCAAATTGTGAAGATGAAAATGAGTGTCCCTAGCTAGTACGAGCAAGAAAATGATAGAAGGGTATCTTTCTTTGTGATAGCAGACAGGGCGAAGCATTCGAAAGTGAACACAATATATCTCCACACGCGGTTGGAAATGATTCTGTGTTTCTATTTCTTTTACTTTGAACCCATTTCACATGAAATATATGTTAGATAAAACGCCCACCAATTAAAAAACCATAATTTCATCAAAGACAAGTTGTACCATCAGCAGTCAATTTTGGATTCATACTCTTTTTATTTTAATCATTCATATTTAGTTTTTTCTTTTTTTGTTAAAAATAATTCCTTCAACTTAAAATTTTGTTGTATAATTAAAAAAAAGAATAATATAATATTGGTTTATATGGAGTGATGATAAAAAATATAAAAATAAAAACTTCCATATGTTTTCTATTTTTCTTTATTTTAATTTTTATACTTTTCTTTTGTCAATACATTCAAAATAATACTTTTCATATTTCTGTTACACTTTTATTAATTATTAAACAAAATTTTGAGATGAAATATTCAATTTTAACAAATAAGAAATTTTAAAAGTAAATGTTAACAATAAAAACTAAAAATATTGTTAATCTTGTATTTTAAATTAAGTTTTGTTTTGATACTTTTGTTGTGTATAAGCTTTAATTTGCTAATTATATTGCCCTAACCATTTCACAATTGATAGTCCTATAAGGGATTAATACAGTTTTTTATTGTTTTTCCTACAATGCAAGTTTTAATCCCAAGTTCCTGAAACAATCAAAATAAAATCTATCATAA